TTAATATATATTTTATATATATGATCTATTAGGATCATATATTATTATACTACTGATCCTACATTATCAATAATTATGTATCTGTATCATATATATTATATATGATAATGGTTCTGGATAGGAGATATATGTACATATGTATATTTCCAATTGCTGGTTTAGTTCTTTTTTTCTGTACAATAAAGTGGCCCTAAATGACCATAGCCCCTACTGCTGTCACATTACCTTCCCAGACTACATCTATGGCCTCAGGGAGAGTTCCCTCAGACCTGCTAACTGATGAACAGTAACTCAGGATGGGTTTATAGATGGTTCAGCACAGTCTGCAGGCCCCACCCAGAAGTGGACAGCAGTAGCCCTATAGCCCCTTTCCAGAACATTCTGGAAGAACAGCAGTGAAGCACTTTCAGCAGTGCACCTGCTTGTTCATTTCATCTGGGAAGACATGGCCAGAGGCGTAAGTCCATACTGATTAATGAGCTATGGCCAGTGGTTTGGCCGGACAGTCAGGGACTTAGAAGGAACATGATTGGAAAATTAGGGACAAGGAACCTAGGGTGCAGGCCTCTCTGGATGGGCAAAGAATGCAGAGCTATTTGCATCCCATGTGAGTGCTTACCCAAGGGTGACCTCCGCAGAGGAGGATTTTTGAATAATCAAGTGGATAGGATGACCTGTTCTGTGGCTACAAGTCATCCTCTTTCCCCAGGCCCCCTTGTCATTGCCCACTGCCCTATGTTTACAAACATAGCAGCCAGGTGGCAGGGACGGAGGTTATGCATGGGCTGAGTAACACGGACTTCCATCCACCGCAGCCAGCCTGGCTGCAGCAATGCCGGCAGAGTGCCTAATCTGCCAGCAGTAGAGACCCAAACTGAGAGCCGGCACCACTCCCCGGTGATCCGCCAGCTACCTCATGGCAGGTTGATTACATTGGACTACTTCCATCATGGAAAGGATAGTGTTTTGCTCTTACTGTAACAGACACTTACTCTGGATATGGATTTGCTTTCCTTGCATATAATGCTTCTGCCAATACCTACCATCTGTGGGCTTCCAGAATGCTTTCTCCACCGTCATGGTATTCCACACAGCATTGTTCTAATCAAAGAACTCGCTCGACAGCAAATGAAGTGCAGCCATGGGTCCATGTCCTTGGAATTTACTGGTCTTACCATGTTACCCCATCATCCTGAAATAGCCGGCTCGATATAAAGGTCGTATAGCCTTTTGAAGATCTAGTTACAGCATCAGCTAGGTGACAGCACTTTGCAGGGCTGTAGCAATGTACTTCAGAAGACTGTATACGTTCTAAATCAGCATTCCAGCAATAGTGTCCTTTTTCCTACAGCTAGGATCCATGCTCCCAGGAATTAAGGAGTGGGAATGGAATGTCACCACTCACTGTTACCCCAGTGATCCACTAGCACAATTTTTGCTTCCCATCCTTGCAATGTTATGTCTGCTGGTCTATAAGTCTTCATCCCAAAGGGAAGAATACTTTCCCCGGAAGACACAATGATTCCGTTGAACTGGACGTTCGGACTGCCAGTTTGGGCTCCTTATGCCTCTGAATCAACAGACCAAGGAGGGAGTTACTATACTAGCTGAGGTAATTGATTCTGACTTGGAAGGGAAACTAGGATTCTATTACATAATGGAGGTAAGGAAAGGTATGTCTGGAATATAAGGTAGCCCTTAAAGAATCTCTTGGTACTTCCACATCCTGTGATTAAAACCAATGGAAAATTCTAACAACCCAGTTTTAGGTAAAACTTCTAACGGCACAGATCCTTCAAGAATGAAGGTTTGGCAGCATGCTGCTAGGAAAAGAACCATAACCAGCATTACAGTGCTCGCTGAGGACAAAGGAAATATGTAACAGGAAGGGGAAGAAGGTATTTATAAGTACCAGCTATGACTAACCAACCAATTGCAGAAATGGGGACTGTAATTATTGAGTATTTATTCCTTATTTTATTATAAATATTTATTTTTATGTGTATATGTTTTTTTCTTCCCTCTCTTACCTCCCTCGTATTCTAATATAAAACATTTTTTTAAAGATTTTATTTCTTTGACAGACAGAGATCACAAGTAGGCAGAGAGGCAGGCAGAGAGAGAGGAGGAAGCAGGCTCCATGCTGAGCAGAGAGCCCAATGTGGGGCTCAGTCCCAGGACCCTGAGATCATGACCTGAGCCGAAGGCAGAGGCTTTAACCCACTGAGCCACCCAGGCGCCCCCTAACATAAAACATATTAATAGCTAACTTTAGGGACTCCTAGTGTCTCAGTCAGTTAAGTATCTACCTTTGGCTCAGGTCATGATCCCAGGGCCCTGGGGTCAAGCCCCATCTTGAGCTCCCTGCCCAGCAGGGAGCCTGCTTCTCCCACTGTCTGCCACGCCCCCTGCCTGTGTGCTCTCTGTCGAATAAATAAAATAAATCTTAAAAATAAAAAATAATAGCTAACTTTACATTAAATTATTGAAGTTACAGGATTATTAAGGAGAAGAGTGAATATCACCCAAAGACTTTGCATCCTCTTCTGGGGAAAGGGTTAGCACATTTTCAGTTGTACACAGGATACTTGTATCATGTTAGGTGAAAGTATGACTTTGTTATTGTTTTGATTTGGAAATTAAGTACCGTTTTAGGAGATGCATATGGGTGCTGGGTTAACAAAATGTGGACTAAGATGATCAGTTTCATGTATTAAATTGGCTTGGCTCTAATACCTAGATATTCAACCAAATACTAATCTAGGTGTTACTGTGAAATTATTTTGTACATGTCATTAATATCTACAATCAGTTAACTTTATGTAAAGGAGATTATCTCAGATAATCTGGATGGACCAACTTCCAACCAATTAAAAGGCCTGAGGTTTCCCTGAAGAATTCTACCTGTGAACTGCAGTGTCAGCTCCTGAGCAGCGCCTGCCTGAGCTTCCAGCCTGACCTTCTCCACAGACTGCATGACTTTTCCAGAATTGCCTACCTGTCCCCCACCACTAAGCCAATTCCTGGTAATAAATCAGATAGACTGGATGGATGGATGGATGGATGGATGGATGGATGGATGGACGGATGGATGGATAGATAAAGAACGAACTAATAGAGATCCGTCCTACTGGTTACGTGTCTCTGGTGCAACTGGTACACAAACCACCTAAAAAAAATATTGCATCCCCAATAGTCAGAGCTTGTTTTTGACCCAAAAGCGATCACCCAACATATTCATCAGGAGTGACCACCAGAACTCCCAGGCAAATCCCACGAGTTCAAAAGATTATCCTGATGAAGGAGCGAATTGGGCAGGTCAGGGCAACACACCTACAACAGTGTTCTGTCTTCCAGGGCATACCTTCAGATATCTTCGTCCTTTCATGTTTATTAAACTATATGCAACACGTTGGAACATTGCACAGCCACTTAAAAACATAGTTTTTGTCAGCTCTCTGAAAGGGAACATAAAATCTCACATCATTAAATTGCTTCTAAGGAGGGAAACCCAGTCAGTGTTGGGGGACTGAAGTGGGAGGGGGAATTTTCACTTTTCCTACCTTTGGAATATTGTTTTTGAGAGAGAGAGAGAGAGAGAGAGAAAGTGGGGCTGGGGAGGTGGGCAGAGGGAGAGAGAGAAACCCAAGCCGACTCCCTGCTGAGCATGGAGCCTGACGCTGACGCAGGGCTCCATCTTGTGACCCTGAGATCACGACCTGAGCTGAAACCAAGAGCTGGACGCTTCACTGACTGAACCACCCAGGTGCCCCTACCTTTGGAATACTGAATCATGTGAATGTAACATCCAGACTAGGGGTTGGCAAACTGCGGTCCACAGGTCAAATCTGGCCCACTGCCTGTTTAAAGTTTTATTGAAATGCATCCACGCTCAGGTGTATATGTTGCCTACGGTAGCTTCCGTGCTACAATGGAGAGTTTAGCAGTGGTAACAACTACATACATGACATTACGTGGCCTAAAATACTATCTGATCCTTCACAGAAAAAAATTGCCCATTTCAATCTAGTTTCTAAAAAATGGAGAAGTAAATTGGCATTTAAAAAAGATGCCCCAAGAGAATTAAAAACATATACATGAATGTTCATAGCAGCACCATTCACAATAGCCAACAAGTGGAAACAAGCCAAATGTCCCTCAACTGACGCAGAAGTTGATATCACCTTAACAGAAGGTGATATATTCATAGGACGGAACATGGCCAGAAAAAAGAATGCAGTACTGATAAATGCTACAACACAGATGAGCCTCGAAAACATTAGGCTAAGTGAAAGCGGACACAAAGGCCACATTTGTATGATTTTATTTATATGAATGTCCAGAATAGGCAAATTCAAAAAGACAGGAAGTAGATAAGCAGTTTCCAGGGGCTAGGGAGAAAGAGGAATGAGGAGTGACTACAAATGGGTACAAAGTTTCTTTGGGGAATGATAAAAACATCATGGAATTAGATAGTGGGGATGGTTGCATTACTCTGAATATGCTAAAAACCACTGAATTGGGGGCAGCTGGGGGGCTCAGTGCCAAGTCTGCTTCAGATTCTTCCCCCCTCTCCCTCGTCCCACTGGCACATGCTCATTCTCCCGCTCTAAAAGAAATAAAATCTTAAAAACAAAACACTAAATTGTACACCATCACCAAATACAGGGTATTCCAGAGTTCAGTAGGGACTCAGCACCTAGTGATAAATTAGTCCCCTCCACCACCTTGAAGTAGAGTCAGAACTGGCCTGGGAGTCAGGAAACCAAGTACTACGTCCCAGTTGTCCCCAATATCCATGTGACCTCAGCTAAGTTTCTTTCCCTGTCTGGTCCCTCATTTCCTTCTCTACAATATGGGTGCATTTGGACAGGGGCGGGGGGGAGGCTGGTGCGACAAGATGTGATGGGGTAATTGATGGCCTGACTCCCCAGAACCCTTTATTCTTCCAAGTTTTATTGTCACAGACCCCAATAGTCAGTATCCCCCTCCTCATTGCTTTCCAATTTCAAAGCATTTTCACATACACGTCATTTGATCCTCATAACCACCCTTTAGGGTAAATAGGTATTACCCCCATTTTCAGATGAAGATATTGAGTCTCAGGGAGGAGTTGCCCAAGTTCATACAATGGGTTAAATGTTACAGCTGAGACTCAACCCCAGGTCTTCTGATTCTAGATCCTGGGTTCTACCCACACTACCACTGTCTTTGCATGTTTAGCCTCTCTCTGGAAACTCAAGAGAGTGATGACTAGCAGCCTAACCACAAACACTATACACCTTTATTTGGTCAAAAGAGGAGCATAGGGACCTGGGGTCCTCTTTGATCTCTTATGAACCTGTCTATACCAGTACAGTAGCCATCTAAGCAGGGGAGAATGCCTCTACACTGGTGTGGACACCAAGCCCATGACATCACAAAGATATACATACAGGTACACTTGACCTCTTCAACAGGTGATACAGCATACTCGTTACCAGGGTGGTAAGGAAGCTATACCTTTAGTTCAGGGGAGGCAAGAGGTCACAATTCTGGGATTCTATTCTCTAAGTCCACATGATTTATTTACCCCTCTGGTGAGACCTCAAGGAAGGGGCAGCTCCTCAATCCTTGGTATATGGGAGGAGTGAGAAGGGAGGGACAGGGAAGTATCCTCCCTGCCCTTGCTAAAGCAGAGTCCAGGAAAGCTATCAGCGGAAGCAGGGATTTGCTCCTGAGCTCAAAGAGTTGGGTCTAAAGCTTGAGGAGTATCAGTGAGACCACTGCTGTCAAACCCAGTTCAGCCCTTAGGAGTTACAGTACCTGGGCTCTAGAAATGCTAGCGGCTACATGGGCTTTGACAAGTCACTCACCCTCTATGATTCAGTTTGCTTCTCTAAAAATGTGGCTAATGACTGCTGGGTCTCGCTCAGACGGGTGCTTGGAGGTTTCGGGGACAGAAACAAACTGAAATGCTGTAAAATGTACTTTATGAACACATGCTTTCATTGTTCCATAGCTGGCAAGAGGAGTGACCCACTCACTCCTTTCCAGGCAGGAGGAAATTACATACAGGCTGGGCAGCAAGAGGGCATAAGCCAGACGGGAGTCTCTTCAGGAAAGGTTGGGCTGCCCTGGGGTGGAGAGGATGCCCATGCTTCCTTACACTCTTCTTTTTTCATTTGACCAACCAACATCTATCAAGCTACAGGACAAGTGCTATTCTGTGTGAAGACAGCAAAGAAAAGAGAAAATGGCCCTGCCACAGTTTATATTCTAATTGTGGGAGACCAACAACAGCAAACATGTCAAACACTGGCTTTGGCAAGTTCTGTACTGAACTACACTGGGTAAGGTTAGTAGTGGTGATAAGGAGGTGCGATCTCATACAGGATGTCAGAAGGCCCCTCTGCTAACACGATGTCTGAGTAAAGACATGAAGAAGTGAGGGGATAGTCTGGGGTACAGCCACACCTTAGGTCTAGGCTACGGGACCACTAGAATTCTGGAGATGGACAGACACACAGCAACAGACAACTCCCTACCGTGCTGGTTTGGTTTACTCCCCTTGGATTTATTCTCTTCTCTTTCCTGCTCCGTTCCCTCCAGATTGCACGCCTAGGTCAGCCTTGCCAACTGCCTTTCAGTTATGTTTAGCCAAAGGCCCCAGAAGATTGAATAGGATAAAAGAGAGGTAGGCTATGGACAATCCCACTCTTTCCCTGGCCCCAGTTCTGACAGCAGCTGCATTCCTTAATACAATGTCCATCTGCCTTCTACAGCCCCTTCTGGAACCCATCCTCCCCACAAAGCCTTGTGGCATTAGCCTTCCAGAAGAGCAGTGTACCTACCTGGGTATGTTGTCCACAGATACCAGCTCGATGGCTTCTCTCATGAGGGCAAAAAGCGGAGTTTAAGCCCTAGAGATACCCTTCACAGACAAAACGTGGACCATGGCCTCACTCCCATCCCTCAATGCTCCACCTCTATCAAATTATTCATACCGGGAAAGGCAAGAACAGAATTTGGGGGTTCTAAAGTCCCTTAGGACCTCACTGCCCCAGAGGTAGAACCCTCTCCAAGACCCAGCCCAACTTCCCACCTGAAGGAATTCAGTCTACCTACCTCCAACAACCAACAACTCATTGCCCAGTTATTTCCTTGACTGTACATTTATCACTATTGGAAAAAGCTTATCAGTGTGTAGGTATGCTCTACCTGATTAGAGTATGTATGCCATGGGAGCACAGAATTTATCTTGCTCTGTGTGACAGCATCCTAGGCTCAAGTATGCAAAAACTCAGGTATCTCTAAGTAAGTGGCAATGGAAAGGTGTACAAAGCACCCCTGTTCCCAGACACTTCCACAAGGAGTCCAACAACTGCTTGGCATCAGGGGTGGGCAGATACTCTCTGAAGTATTGCCCACCTCTTCAGGTGTGTGGGTGCAGGATCCTCAAGTGGGACAGCCAGAATAACACAGGAGTCAGAAGAGTAACTCAGGTTCCACCAAGAGTGCTTCCATCCTTCTAAAGATCCCCCACTTTTCCATTTCTAAGTGGCTAGAGCAGGACTTGGCTGATAGTGTCCAGGCCTCAGGGAAGCACAGGAGGAGGAGTTAAGAGGGCTACAGGTTCTTGGCCGTAGGAGGGCTTGGCCAAAGGTTCTAAGCAGCAAAGATCCTCCAGGTCCAAGACAACAGCTGGAAAACTGCCATCTGGACCTGGGGCTGGAAACAGGGAAGACAACATGTACTATACCAAAGACCCCAAATGTGGCTCACCTGGCCATATCCAACAAGGACCTGGAAAGCCTGTGAGTGACTTCTGCTGGTTAATTTTCTCCCCAGTAAAGGGGCCTCAGACTAGACCCTACAACTAAAATCTGATTCAGGGCAATTAGTCTTTGTCTGGTCTTATCTCTTCAGCCCCCATCCTACTCCACCCTAGATACCCTCTACCCCCACCCATGTGTGGCACCACAGTCACCAGGGTAGCCCTTTTGTCCCCTCCTCTCACCCCCAAAAAACCCAAACAGCTCAGAAGTGCATCAATCGACCTTTAATGTCCAAAAGAGGCATGGATGCAGAGCATAGGAGATGTGGTGGGGTCTCAGCCCCTGCTCCAGAAATGAGGGAGATGACACAAACCAGACATTTCCAACTGGCCACACAAGTCTGGGAAGGCAGGGGGAAACACAGATTTTGACATTTATAAAAAAATAAAACCTAAAGCCAAGCACTCAATCTTGTGCCCACCGAAGGGTTTGATAGGGAACTCACTCACCATCCCTGGTCAGCACCCACCCTCCCCCGTCAGCAACAAAAAGCTCGGCACACACTAAAGGCTTGGGGAGGGGGAATTCTCCTGCCTCCCCACCAGCCCCAAGGATGGACTTGGAGGGGGGGAAAAAAAAATAAAGAATGAGCTGGATCCCAACCACCCCCCTCCCACAGTGCCAACCCTACACATGAGAGTTTTAAATGCGATTTACAAGAATCAGCAGCTCAGTCAGCAATGACTCCCCCCCACCCCCATTTGATCAATAGACAAGATCTCCCCCTGCACTTTGCTTGGAATCTCCTCCCACTAGCAGCCCTGCTCCATCTCCTGATACCTGGCTTCACCACTGCAAGACTAATCCCCTCCAAAGTTCCCCCGAAGGTCCTTACAGCCCTTTATCACTTCCATCCCCACCTCCCATAAGGGATGCAAACACCCACAAGTCACTTTCCCTCTCCACTAAGAACCAGTTCCAGGGCAGATGGCATCACAGCCATCTCCTCGTGCGCTATCTTCCCAAAGCCTTCTGGGGAACAGACAGCCATAGGGCAAGCAATGTCTGGGCCAGATGGCCTATGGGGGTTGACAACTGCCTTCACCCCTAAAACAGACACCCCCAGAGGTTTTTAACATAAAGGCCCAATCAGAATTAATGTGCAGCCTATCTAACCATATGCCGTAGAGATTCCACACTGTCCTGCCCCTCCCTCCCCTCTACCCCAAACCAAGATACACACATACACATACACACATATACATAGAGGAGAATCAAGGGGAGACATCGATTTGGTTTGATTGCTAAGACAACTAAGGAACTACAGTCACCAGAAATTCCCTTGCCAGCCAACTAAGAGGGGCTGTTCTAAGAGAACTCCAGAGGAATGAGAAAACTGAGGGCTAAGCAGGGAGCAGACAGGAGGAGAGAAGAATGAATAGAAGAAAAAAAAATCAAGCTAATCCTACCCCCAACATCCTCCTAGCATGAGCTCTGGCAGGAAGAATAAAAGAAGGTAATCCACAAAGACACAGCCCTTACTTAGAAACTCTTCTGACAAAGACAGCAAGATAAGTCTGCTCCCCACTCCCACACACCACAGACAAACACGTCTCAGGGCCCCTCAAAGAATCCACCCCCCACCCCACCCTGTGCCCCAAGGCGTGGAATCACAGTTCAGTGGAATATTCTCCCTGGTACTAGATCAATCCCCCTAGCCTCCTTCCTATCCCCCTCTCCCTGCCAATCCTTACGCTGTCCCCTGCAGCCTCCCCGGCCGTCCCAAAGCAGCACCCACCACCAGGAGGAGGTGGCTGCACAATTTGAGTTCTGCCTCCAGAAACTGCCTGTTCTCCCCCAGCCCTCCTAGTCTTACAGGCTTTGTTGAGGGCTTTTTGAAAATTTTATGTAGGGAGAGAAAGAGAAGAGGGAGGGGTGGGAGAGATTTCCTAGTGCAATACAACCGAAGAAAAAATTTTAAAGTCTTGAAAAATAAACATAAAGCAGCCTTCTTCCCCAGGCAACTAAACAGAAAGAAGTTTGGTTTTGTTTACTGCAACATACACATGAAATCGAGTATACAGTCCATGCAGTAGCACAGCCATTGGAGAGGACTTCCTGATGCTGGCCCCAGTGCAAAACAGTCCCAGCAACGCCGCCTGCTTGCCATCGCTGCCGCCGCCACTGCCACCTTCACTGCGGCCACCTAGCCTGACTTGAAGAGGAGGATTGCAACTTGACCCAAGTAAAAATAGATGAAGTGCTTTGTCTCGTGTGTAACATAGCTGCCAAAATTTCGGCCCACGATACAATGCCAGGTAGGGTTGTATTTCTTGTCAAATTCCTAAAAAAAAAAAAAAAGTAAAAGGAAGAGAAGAAAGGTGATTAGGATAGCTGGAAGACGAGAAGTCAGAATAGGAATGTGATTTAGTTATCACCCCCGCCTCCCCACCCCAAGGCCATGGCCTCAACTCCCCAAACCTCAGGAGCTCAGGTTAAGGCTATCTAGGACACTCTTTCCTTCATTAATAATGGAACACCACAAACTCCATTACTTCTCTCTAGCACTTTACACTCTGATCATCTCTCCTCCTCCTAGCCACCCTACTCCATGGTCCACCCTGTGATTCTTTACCAAAGGAATAAGGAAGCCCAGGGCATAAGAGACCACTCCAGTGTCTCACAGTATGAAGAAAGCAGGGAGGAGCAAGCCTCCCTGACTTGCCATGTGCTGCCTCCCACATTACTAAACCAGCATTTCCAAATGCCAAGAACCAAGACACCAGAGCCAAACATCAGGAGTACCAGGAAGCAGTTCTTTTTAAGTCAACATTAAAGGCACTCCTGTGTGCCAAGTACTGTGTGGGCTTTAAGTAGCAGAACAAGGACATCAACCGTGAGATCAAGGCAATTCCCTCACTTCTCTTAGCAGCACAAGTGCAGCATCAAAGCAACCTAAGAAATCCTTCTGACCTAATCAGACAGGCAGTTCCCTGTCACTCCATAGATCCAGCAGGAAACAGATGGTTCAGTAGATGCACCCTGCCATGCAACAGACTCTACCATGGACCCAGCAAAGCTGCCAACCCTGGGATTGCCCCCTCAGGTGCTCAGCATAAAACCTCTTTGCCTCCTCACTGTCCCGTACACCAAGGGACTCCAAGAGGTATTAGTGAACAGTGGAAAGGGGATGGCTCATCAAATCCAGCCCTAATGCTGACTCTCAAGACCCTGTAACATAGGAGAACCATAGCCACTTCTCCGGGTCTCATTTTCCCTATCAGCAAAACAAAAAAGCTAGACCAGACATAACCTAAGGATTCTCCTGACTCAGAGTCCATGATTCTGGATCCTCTCCCTGTACAGGACACATAAGGCCATCACTCAGCAAGGAGCCAGCACCCCCAGCTCGCTCCTCACCCACTGGGGCTCCTTATACAGAGAGTCTCTCAGTACTCCAGAGTTTTCTCTTTTCATCCCACCCAAGTAGGAAAGCAGAAGTAGGAAAGCAGAAGTCTATAAAACTTAAGGATGCCCTACCACACCTCTATGAACCAGAACAACCCTACACTTAGGCATCCCTTTTGGGATACTACAGCTGAAAACATCCAAGACTAGGATTATGCCACTAGCAGACATGGATTCTGCCTGGGAATCAGAGGCCCCTGGGTATGACTTCTCACTTCTAGCTCAGCTGCTTCCTGTGTTAGGTAACCATATTTAATTCACCCATTCACTCAGGCATTTTTCAGGGACTAAACCTATTACCCCAATATTGCTCATCTATTTTTGGCAAATTACATATTCAAGCCCACCCTATTCTTAAGAAGGTGGGGGAAAGGAGATAGTACAGTACCTGAGTCCCTTTTTTTTTTTTTTTAAAGATTTTATTTATTTGACAGACAGCAATGACAAGTAGACAGAGAGGCAGGCAGAGAGAGGAGGAAGCAGGCTCCCCCCTGAGCACACAGCCTGACACGGAGCTCGATCCCAGGACCCTGGGATCATGACCTGAGGTGAAGGCAGAGGCTTAACCCACTGAACCCCCAGACGCCCTGAGTCCTTTTTAAGAGGGGGTAAAAAAAAAAAAAAAGAGGAAACTTCCTATAGGATAGAGATTACTATAGGGATATCCCATTTAAATGATGCAGTTCCTTGAAAAACTTGTATATGATCTTGTATTATCTGTTCAATTATCCTCGATTTACATTTTGAATAGTTCTGATTTCAATCAGTTACATTTGATCCTAAGCTTCTGTCCCCAATGCCCTGTAGTCACAAAATTATCTGTAAACACACACACGCACACGCGCACACACACGCGCACACCTCAGCAGAGCTCCTATTAAGAACTCTTAAGGTGGGGCACCTGTGTGGCTCAGTGGGTTAAAGCCTCTGCCTTCAGCTCAGGTCATGATCCCAGGGAACTCGGATCGAGTCCCATCGGGCTCTCTGCTCAGCAGGGAGCCTGCTTCCTTTTCTCTCTCTCTGCCTGCCTCTCTGCCTACTTGTAATCTCTGTCAAATAAATAAATAAAATCTTAAAAAAAAAAAAAAGAACTCCTAAGGCAGGTACGCCATGGTAGCTCAGTCATTAAGCATCTGCCTTTGGCTCAGGTCATGATCCCAGGGTCCTGCGATGGAGCCCCACATCAGGCTCCCTGCTCAGCAGGAGGCCTGCTTCTCCCTCTCCCACTCCCCCTGCTTGTGTTCCCTCTTTCGCTGTCTGTCTCTCTCTCTCTCTCTGTGTGTGTCAATTTCAAATAAATAAATAAATAAAATCTTAAAAAAAAAAAAAAAAAAAAAAAAAGAAAAGAAAAGAATTCACCACTCCTAAGGTGAATGCTTGGGCAAGAATCCCTCTCTAATTTGTCTGCTTTGTAAGCTTCTGGATTTTGTTTGCATGGGATATACCTGCTTTCCTAAGTCCCCAGTTCAGATCCCCTTGGGGAACAGCTCAGATGTCCACCCCTACCCCTAGCCAATAGCCACAGCTCTCTTGGCACACCTTCTTGATATAGGCAGCAATGTCCTTCTCTATGTTGTACTTCTCCATAGCCTGCGTGGCGCAGTCAACGGCATCCTGTTGCATGTCCTCAGACATGTCTGCGTTCTTGATCACTGCCTTCCGGTCAGACATCGTGACACTGCAGAAGAAGCAGAGAGGTGAAGCTGATAACCCCATGCTCTAAGCAATGCACATTAGCAGCTGAGTATGGAGCCTCAGTGGGAGAACAGAGTACAGAAGACAACAGAAAACACAGACATGAGGCATTATTAGAAGAGGGAGGTCCTAAGCTTTTAGCAAAGACCTGGTCCCCAAACCTGGGAAATACAAGTGGATAGGAAAAGACCTAAGAAGCCATCGATTTTTAGCATTTGTAAAATAAGGCTTTTTCCATCTATTTCTGGTATCTTAAATAGTACCAACTGCCAAGATATTACAATATATCACCTACTAGCTGTGTCCTTGGGCAAGTTACTTAACCTTTGTGCTTTCATACCATCATCTTGAAATGGAGTCCTTCAGGGTTACTGAGGGCAAACCAGGTAGCATTAACACCTGAACACAGTAAGTCTTGATTTAATGACCATTACTGCATCATTGGTAACACAGTGGAAAGAAGATGGACTAGGAATCAGTAGGCCTGACTTCTGGTCCTGACTATGAACTCCTGTATCTTGTAGTCTTGGAAAGCCACTCATCCTTACTGCATTCATTATTTCCACTTTAGCAATGAGAATAACTCTCCATCTGGGGTTGTTACAAGGATTCATTAAGGTTATATGAAAACATCTGCGAACAAGGACAGTCTACACTGGGGTCTGTGGGCCAGATTCAGCCTACCACCTGTTTCTGTAAATAAAGTTTTATAGAACAGGCAAAAATGGCAGAGTTGAGTAGTTGCAAGACAATGCATGGCCTGTAAAGCCTAAAATATCTTCTATCTGGCCTTTCACAGAAAAAGGCTGTCAACGCCTGGCAGTGAGAGAGAGAACAAAAGGTGAGGAATTATTATTTTAACAGCCCCATTTCATATCCCTGCTATCTAACCCTTGGCATTCATCCTACAGCGACCAGAATTCTGGGGTAGACCTTGCACGGTCCGTTCCTGGGATGACAGGAATCCCCAGAAGGCTGGTCAGAACCTGACTGGCAGTCTATAGCATGTGAGTGCTTTGCAAAAACCGAGGAGATGAGCTGCAAAACCCAATCCTCTGTGCTTGACCAGTCCCATCACAATGATTCTCCCAACACCCCCCCCCCAAAAGAAGACTCTGTCACCCAGCCCAGCAGACAAAAGATGTCGTCATTCCAGCCCTGTCTGATATTAAGGCTACACAGGAGGCCTGCCCTGCTCAAGGAGAGATCCCTGGTACCGTTTGAGGCCACCTTGATCTCTGCGTCCACAATAGCCTGTGTGCTGGGTGAACTAAAAGGGAAAGCAGAACTCACAATTGCTCCTTTAGCCTGTACCCGATGCAAAGAAAGCATATATGCCAGCTGCCAACCACACAGCCCTTGACCGCACCCAAGGCACCTCAAACTAAGCAGGTCTGGCTCTATTTCAGCAGAGACTGGCAGAGGAAAGAGATAGTGGACGGGAAATTTCCGACCCCACACCCCAAGGAGTACGTGAGCATCACCAGGTGCTGAGGAAAAGGTTAGGAGAACCCTGTTCAAGGCCGGACTAGCTACATGACCTTGGGCAAAGCAGTACCTTCATTCTAAAAACCCATGGTTGAAAGAAGATAAATGAGGCAACTTCAATGAGTTTGAGCAGATATACAACTACAGAGGAAGAATGTTCTGAGTATTATAAGACTATCTATTTGAAGAAAACTAGTGTCACCTGAGGGCCTATTCCAGGTTACCACTCAGAAGGGGGCAGTTTACAAACACCAAGGGTGGGGATGGGGCCGGGTAAGACACTGTGAAGTTAAAGCACGAAATTGGCACTGGTTTTCCCAGCAACCTCACGGGCTCCACGGCCTCATCCCCAAAGTCCAAAGGAACAACTCTGTCACAGTAATTAAAAGCCACGTTACTCTCTAGTAGGAGAGCGCCTGCGGTTACATAACGTTGGTCTTCTGACTACAATGCTACGATTCTTCACCCCCGGGCCCCCAGGCGTCTGAGGGGTGAGGCCTAGCCCCAACCTGCCGTGTCCAAGGTGCCAGTGAGAAAAGGACACGGAGGTGCCCGGCATACCCACCTCCCTCCTGGGAAAACAAGCAAGGGACCTGGGCCTCCGTTCAGAAAGATGACCGGACGGCCCCAGGCCAGCTGCCTCAGTTGAAAGCCAGGGGCTCCTAGGAAAAGCGAAGAGGGCACTCCAGGACAGCTCCCTATCCGCTATCCCCGGTTTTGTGACATAAAAGGCCAAGTCTCAGAAAGCCCCGGACCACCCTCCCCTGAGGCCCCTCCCCAAATGCTGACATTTCCCCCCCTTGAAATCTCCAAGGGGACTTATCCCTCCACCATGCCCTCCTCCGGAGAGCTGCGGCCCCCGAAGGCCAACACCTGGGGAATGAGAAAGCATCCTCCCCGCCACCTCCACCCCGGCGGGTCAGCCGACCTCCCCCGCCCGGCCTGGAGCAGCGCCGGAGTGACTGGGCGTCCTCGCCGCAGGAAGGACGCCCCGGAGTGTGGCGGCGGCGGCAGGAGGCGCCGCGTCACGCCCGAGCCCTCTCCACCCCCTCTCCCTCGGCCCCAAACACCAGAGGCCTCCACACAGCGCCGGGAGACTCCCGGGAGGGGAGGGGACGGGGAGGAGGCGGGGAGCCGCACCTCCGCAGTCCGGGCCTCCGGCCGCGCCCGAGGGTCGCGAGGGCGCAGGGTGGCGCAGCTCCGGGAAGGAGGGGCCCCGAGGGCGTCACGCCGAGGCCAGCTCGGCTCCGGGCCTCGGGGCTGGGCCTCGCGCGTGGGGCTGCACGCGACAGCCGCGGGCCGCCGCCCCGGGGACTCCCCCATCCACCGCTCACCTTCACGGAGGCTAGTCCGCGCGGGGCCTCGGGGGAGCAGCGATGGCCTCGGCACGGGCGCGGGCAGGGGCAGGGGCGGTGTCCCCTCGGCTCCTCCAGCAGCAGCAGCAGCAGCCGCCGCCGCCGCGGTCTCCGGCTCCCGCGGCTCCGGGCCGATCGCTCGCCGCCGCCGTCCGCCCTTCGAGCTTCCCCGGCCACCCGCTCTCCGCCTCGCGCCCGCCGGCCCGCCGCCTTTCCCTCGCTGGCACCTCGCAGCTCCGCTCCGCTCTGCCGCTGAGCACGGCCGACGCGCGGCCCCCACAGAAATAGCGCCCCGCCTCCGCCCCCCCCGCCGCGCGCGCCGCGGTCCGCGCTCCCCATTGGCTGCGCCCGCCCGGCCCCGCACTGCGGGCTTCTCCCCGCGCCGCTCTCGCCCCACATCTTGTTTCCTCCCACAATGCCTCGGGGCGGAGGGAGGGGGAGCTGGAAAGGGTGGGGGGAGGGAGATGGGGCCTTAAGAAGAGAAAGGAGAAGAAGAATGCAGACCCCTCCACCCGGGGCTAGGAGGCCAGGCTTAAAAAGGAATAAGTAGGCGAGGCTTAGGGAGAGGGAGGGGTGTAAAGACCCCAATCTCAATGAGAATAAAGAGACTGAGAGGGATGGAGATTTCAGACCCTGGGAGCAGATGGGGAAGGGGTAGAGATCCTAACCAGAGGAAGAGGAAGGGAAAGGAGGTGAAGTCATCAGCCTCAGAAGAAAAGACAAGACACCCCTTCCCTCCCTCCCCCTCCCCCAGATCTGTAGGAAGGAGAGAAACAACCAGCTCAACGGAGAGGTAAAAGCATAAACAGCCCCAGGGCTCCCCTCCCCTTACATTCAGGAAAAGTCCCTTCCCCACTATAGCTCAGTCTTTGTTCCCGAGTCTCAAGGCCACAGGACCTCAGCTCCCAGCTGGAACCCAGCTGTTGTTGATCGTCTAGAGCTATATGGAGGCAGACTCCAAGCACAGTTGTGAAAAGGGTGGTTGGTCTTTGGCACGCAGGATCCTGGAGTGGAGGTGAGAGTAAGCCATTTCTGGTCGGTGACGACCTCACGGGAGTGCATAGAACCCCCGAGAGGTGCGAACCATAGTGTGGCAGACCTATGAGGAAACTTAAAATTCAACCCATGCATACTCCTCACCTTATAGAGAAGAGAACCAAAGCACAAAGGGGGCAGAGCTCTCACCAGATCACTGCAGGTCAGGCTTGGTCTTGGCTTCTAGGCTGAAAAGTGGTGCTTTTAGGCAGCGGCCCCTCTGATGGCTGTGGAGGCTCTCTGTGGGAGTGTGTGTAAATGCCCAGTCAACTTTGGGAGAGATCCTGCCCATCACTCCACCCCACCCACCTCCAGAGAACAGGAAATGTCTGCCTTTTTCTTCCCCTCTGTTTCACAAAGGAATTGTCTACCTAAAGGGGTAGTGAGAATCTTTATAGGGAGCCACATGTTTGGGCCACACAGTGAGGATTAAGAAGTTCCCCTTCCCATCATTTTCCCTTCACTGCCCCAAACCTTGATCAGGAAGTCGTTCTTGCTCTGGCCGTGGTCTGCTATGGTGTGGAGCATCATAATTTAGTATTCATTATGTATCAGGGGAAACCTGGAAAATCACGCCCTCCCACTTCTGCTTTCTGCTGCTCTGTCATGTCCCAACCTCTGTCAGCATTCCAGAGGAACAGACAAGGTCTGATGTATCCCCTCACACCCAGGGTATTCTGATGTCAGCCTCTGTGTGAATGAATGGGAGGCGGGGCACATGTGGGCAGAGAGGGAGGAGATGAAGAAGGGTACTTGACCACCTTAAGCCTTGCAGAGAGCTGTTTTCATGGACTACTAGGAAGAGAACTTGTACCCTCTTTCTCCAATGGTCATTAGCTTCCAGCCCCTTCTATGGCCTGAAGGTCAGAACTGCAACATATGGTTGTGCAGGTTGTTCACTATACATGACATTCAACCTAAAGAGCAAGTGGGGGCTAAAATACAGCCTGCACTCCACTTGCTAAGCTGTGTGTCCTGGTACAGGCCAGTGTTCACCCAAAAGATGCATACCTCTTTTTCAAGTGTGCCTAAAAGTGACTGAACTCGTGGTGGTCCTTCCAAGTCCATGCTGCTGGCATATAAATCCTCCCTCTCCCTGGCCCCATTGCCTAGAGTAGCATACTGCAACTTTGGTCATTCCCAGTCCTGGGGTGTGGTAGGGTGGAGGTAAGGGCACAAAGAACTTCAACTAATGGGAGTCAGAATGAAGGCTTTGACTTTTCAGAAATGTGGGTATCTGTGCGTGTGTGAAATATGTGCGAGAAAGACTTAAGGCTCTGGGATGTCTGGAAAACTTGCTAACAATGGTATGGTTTATAGATAGTAATATTCATAGAGCGCTCACTCCGTGCCAGGCTCTAATCTGTTTTCAAAGTATTGTTGCATTGAAATCTGGAACAATCACAGTGAACAGGTATTACTGTCTTCCTGTGCAGATATGGAAACTACCTCTTAGAGAAGTTCAGTAATTTGCCCAAGATTACCCCGCTTTTGTCAATGCAGGTGTCAGGCGGTCCGTTCCCAGGACCTATCCCTTTAGTCATTCCTCTATCCCGCCTCCTAACTTTCGAAAAGAAAAAAGTGTTAACCGAGGGTTTGGCTTTCTGCCTGAATTATACCAGCATTTCGTAAACTTATCGGGCTCCGAAGCCCTTTTTTATACAAACATTTATTAACCTCTGCAGGAACGACTATTCCACAGGACATAGTTTGGGAAACGTGCTATAGTGATTATGGCTATTTATGTGAAATGCTTACTGTTTAGGGTAATCACTATGCAACGTAGTAACTGTTGTCATTAATATGTCGCCTTAATTTGGCGGACCTTTTTATTTCATGCCACTACACACTCGAGATTGCCCAGTTATCTGTTGCCCAGATGGAAGAACCGTGTCTTCAGATTTAAAAATCAGAGGGAACTTACGTTCTTGTCTTTCCTGCAGGCTCCTTACCCTCTCCCTCCTTCTTTAAACTAAGGGTTCCCTAGGGCCCTGTGCTTTGGTCTCTGTTCAACTTGGGTAGTTTTATCCACATTCACATTTTTTTACCATAATCTGGGTCCTGGTGGTCCCCCTAATTCTCAGGCCCGCAGGCTCCTCAGACTCTCACACATATAAATATGTAAATATAAATTGTCAAGACATACACACATATAAAGCCTGGTCATGAAGAGCATTGGCCCTGGAGCCAGAATGCCTGAATTCAAACCTCTTTCCACCACTCTACCAGCTGTGCAGAATTGGTCAAGCTATTCATCATCTCAAAATTTCATTTTCCTCATCTATAAATCAAGAATAATACCTATTTCATAGTTATGAGAAAATGCATTAAAAACTCTTGGCATGATGCCTGGTCCATAGAGGTGATTAATAAATGTTAGCCATCATCAACATTTCTTTTCCAGACTTATTTCCCTTCCCTGTATTTCTTACCTCAGTTCATGGCCCCATTATCCACCCAGAGACCAAGTCAAAAACCTGTGAACCCCCTTACCCACCCCTTGTCTGTTATCACTCAGCTCTTGACTATTTTTCCAGCCCCCTTTCATTGTGAATACCCTGCATGGGGAACTCATCATCTCTTCTCGCTGGTTCCCTGCCTGCAATCCAGGCTGCTCCTCCCCAATCCACACAGAGTGATCTATCTAAAATGCAAATCTCCCAGGCACTTCCCTCTGCTCTGCTCAGAAAAAAGAAAGAAAAAAAAGACAGCTCTTTCCCATAACTTACCTCCCCCATCTCACCCTTCACATCCCCCCACCCCCGCCTTCTCTCCCCACACTTCCATCTCCCTCTTTGTGCTCTAGTAACACCGGCTACTGCCTGTGGTTTTCCCTATACCCAAATTCCACACCTTTGTTCATGTGGTTGGCCTTGCCTGTGAGGCATGTGGCTTTCTTTGCTGGCTAACTTACTGGTTTGAGTGTCCTCTGTGAAACTTCCTGAATCCCAGGTGTTTATCACCAACCACCTTGTATTAAACTTGTGAGGCTTAAGTTTGTCTGTAGTTCCTTGCAGACAGGGATTACATCTTATTTATGTGTGGGCTGTAGAACCTAGCACAGTTCTTGGAACATGGGAAGTTCTCTGTCAGTATTGGTTAAATTGAACATCCCTATCAGGGTAGGACCTGTGGGACTCCCACAATGGAGAGGTCAGGAATTAGGCGGCCCCCAGGGCCCACATGGTGATCAAAACCAAGAATGTGGATGAAACTACTGCGTGGCGGAAAAGCACGAATTGGGACACTTCATCCCTTCCTCCACCCAAAGAACCTCCTTAGGCTTTTTCTGTCTCTTTAGAACCAGCAACACTGCTATTTACACTGGGGAACCAGTTGCTGGCTGAGGTAAATTGTTGTCCATGCTGGGGAATGCCCAGGCCTGACTTTGAAATCGATTTCCTCCTTATACTACCTGCTGGGTATTTGGGTGATAGCCTGACGATTACAGGTAAAGACAATCAAAGGCTCTCCACCCCAGATGACCCAGTCATCTGGAAGAAAGAGAGTGTGGCAAGGACAAAAGTCGATTTCACAACCCCTTCAGCTGTTGACTTGCTTCAAAGACTCCAAAAGGATGGAGAAGGGTGAGAACACAAAACCTGACACAGTGCAGTGCAGTCTCCATAGTCTGCCAAGTCCCCATAGGGGGGAAAAAACTAAGGAAGAGAGGAGTGTGACAAGAACTACCGGAATCTGCCCCAATTCCTCATTGATTTCTTGAGTGGCCTTGCAAAACATATTTCCCTAGGCAACAATTTACCAAGCCCTAAATATCAACCTTCCTCCTTCCCAAGTCCCCTGAAACCTGGAGGAGCAGTCAAGATCAACAATGTACCTGAGAACTAGTGAGATGAGCACTGGACTGGGAGTCAGAGAAGTCCTGAGCCCAATTCGACTCTAGTCAAATCATTTCTTTCCTCAGAATCTGGATATCTTCCTCAAGAAAATGTAGGACTGGATAATCTGTAAGGTCCTTATCAGCCCCCAAATCTATGATTCTCTGATTTCTATACCCCATTACAAATGATACCTTCCCTATGGGTCAGAGAAATTTCTCGACTTGTAGCCAAGCTTAAATACCCTCTTCTCTGATCCTTCTTTGTGATCACTTAGAATTCAGAGAGCATTTCTCTACACTCGCATCACCCAACAAAGCTGGGATATCATTCTGTTCAGCTGTGGATTCTCACAACTAACAAAG